TTGAACTGATTGAGCTCTTAACTGAAGCGATTGCACTGTCTGTTGTGAAGACAGGAATTATTGAATTATATTTTGTTCCCTCTGTTCCAAATTAAAGGTAGTTTTAGTTTTGTTATAAGCCAAACTTCTCTAACTCTGACTAATTTTTATAAGGAAAGCACCTACATCTAGAACATCAGTTAGTTTTATTAAATCCACCACGAAATATGTCATGACTTTTTGGTCCTTTAGATGTCAAAAGATTTTTTTCTATAAACTGGTCAATGTGTCTAGGTACAGGTACAGCATTCTTACAATCAAAATTTATTTTGAAATGATATCCTCCACATTCTCTTAGAGAAACCATTGACATTTAAAAACAAGGCAATGATGGCATTACTTAACCTACCACTGATGTCCAGTATGCAGAGGTTGCCCTGCTTTCATTTGGATCTCTTCCATTTTTTCCTTTTTGCTAATAGTACCTGATAATCACTGTAAGCTTCGTCCTGTACTCTGGTCATCACGTCTTATTTGTTATTGTACCATTAATTGAGTTATGACTTATGTGAGTAATGCCCATTGCCCCATTGGCAATTACAATCAGGTTCTTTAGTTTTCTGGATATGTACCTCAACTGGGTGATTCATTTATGGTTGACACAAATTGTTGTGTGTTCGTCATTTATATTCAGGGCACTGAAAATGTGGCCTTTAAAAAGAACAAAAAACAAAACTCCTATCACATCTTTCTATGACCTTATCATCCTTTTCTTTTCTAGCAACTGTCTTTTCTCGGGCACTAGGAGCACTTGATTTCATGCCTTGTGTTGGTGGTTTTACTTTTCTCTCTGTGTTATGCATTGTTATGATGTGGATTTTAAGTATTTCTACCTAGTGTTTTGCACCGTGACTTTGCCTAAATCCCAATGAGCTAATAACTGCAACAACACAGCTTGACTGTATATATGTTTGGTTTGCAGAAAAAGATAAGAGAAGACACAAGGGCCAAAGAAGAAAACATGGTGCTTTTGGAAGAGGAGCGCAGGAAGAAGGAAGCTGCAAAAGCAGACTCTGACCGCCGACTTGAAGAGCTTCGTCGTAAGAAAGAAGTCGAATCTCAGTGCTACAAGGATGACCTACACAGGCTCCAGGATGAACTCAACCGCCTGCAGAAGTCAGCAGGTGCAACTCAACCAACCGTCCCGTCAACCAACTTTCCGGGCACAGCTAACCGAAGCGCAGCGTGGGCACCCAAGCAGCAGCCCATCCAGAGGCCACAACCTGCATCCAACCGGCCGCTACCAGCCCAGAAGCCAAGCCGCCGGCGGGATTGTGTTGTCTGCAAGGAGGAGGCTTGTGTGATCCTACTGCAGTGTGCCCACCAGGTCCTCTGTGTTGGCTGCAATAAGCTGCATGAGGATAAAGGCGTCTCTCGCTGCCCCTGCTGCAGCGCCAAAGTGGAAGAGAGAATCAGGGTTTTCGGTGCGAGCTCCAACTGAGGCACCAGGTTGGGGTGAAGTGGAACTTGTGGTTGAGTTCTCTTTTTTCTTTTACCTCCGTTACTGTGAGGAAAGGGTTATAGCCTTATAGGTATCACCTGAGCGGTTATACTTTGCTATAGCATCCATGGATGCTTGCTGAGCTGAATTGCGACTTATCTTGGGTATTATATGCGTATAATCCAGACCTTTTTGGAGACAGGAAATGATGCTTAGGCTGGACTTAATCTTTATTTCCTCTTTTTTTTTCCTTGCTTGAACTTGATTATCTGGTATTGCGAAAGTTTCTGGAAAGTAGACGGGCACGGGCCAGTTTGTTTGCCGGAAGAAATTTAGGCAGTTCATGTTTGCGGAATTTTATACTTTGGAGGGCTTGTTTGTGATGCAGGCACATTGTTTTTTTTTGAAAGAACAGGAGGGGTTTGAAGCCCCTAGTGAAGATAGATTAAAGATAAAAGAGTAACATTACAGGGGGTAACCAAAGAAAAGGCAAAAAAAAAAAAGAACAGATTACAAGGTTTCTCAGAAGACATTAGGAGACTTAGGGAACCAGGAATGAGATAAAGAAAGCCAACAGGCGCACCACCACAGGTTTGATACTTAGGAAATTCCACTTATCCATTCTTGTAACCTTGGTGAGTAATTTTTCTTGGCGCGCAGTAGCAGCGCATCCATTTCCAACATGAACAGAGCCTTGCATCCTTGCGTCGAGGCATTGCACATTGTGCGACATCGAACAAATTTTGTGAGGGTTCGTGTCAACTACTGGGCTTAGTTGGGCTACAACACTAGACCGAATGCATGGGCTTGCAAAGAGGCTCGCGGCCTAGATCAATCAACCAGACTTAGAGCCCGTTTGGCTGGGCTCCGAGCGGCTCCGGCTCCTCTGACTCCTCTATTGTTCATCTATTGTAGCGACACTGTTTACCGGAGCCGTTTTTCTCTCTCCTCCTTTCCTCTCTCACTGACAGCGCCGGAGCCGGAGAAGCTCGTTTTTTTTTGCTCCTCCGGCTCCAGCTCATGCGCGCTACAGTTGCGCTACAGTGTGGAAGCCAGAGCCGGCAGGAGCCTGGCCAAACGCGCCCTTAAATGTCAAGAGCGGTGGGCTTGCAAAGAGGCTCCTGACCTAGGTCAACCAAGCTGATTTAAGCTGGCTAAATAGTGAGGTGGAGAAAAGAAGAGAGGAGAGAGAGAAGAAACGAGCTGTAAGTTTACAGCCGGCTTAGGCACGAGAACCAAAAAATTCTGTAAGAGAGACAAGTGAGCCATATATTAACATTGAAGAGCTAACTACTATATAAGTGGGCTAAGAGAAAGGAAAAAAAAACCTTACAGCCAGCCGTCAGCTGTATTATTAGCCTTGCTCTAATGCCTAGTCAGCGGCTGAATGTGTGTCCACTCACAAAAATCTGACCCGGCGGATACAGTATAGGAGAGAGAGAGCGCGCGCTAGGAGGGCGCTTCATTCTTCATCGGGCGAAAACACGGTGCACGAGGAAAAAGAGCCCGCATCCAGCTGAAGCAGCCGGTGGAATCAGCTTTTCAGCCTGTTCGCTGGTTGGTTTCTGGGCTGATAAGCCTGGCTGGTGCTGGTTTGTTGTGAGAGAAAAATACTATATCATGACTGGTAAGCCCTAGTTGAAACCAACAAACGAACAGACTGTTTGACTCCTCCATCTACCTGACAGAGCTTATTAAATACTCGTATAGCCAAGGAAGCAGCTAACCAAACAGCCAGCTCATTATACGTTTGTTTGCTAATGTTGGCTATAAGTGATATGGCATGATCATTCAGCTGGCAGCTGGCAAAATTATTAGACTTGCTCTAAATGTCAAGAGTGACAACATCTATTAGAAATGATGAGTCGTCTTTCTCCACTGCCCAAGAACTATGTCCTACTGTGCACGCTATCTACCTCTGTTTCCTTGTTTGTTGTCTAGTTTCACTAGATGAGGTCTAACTTGCATTGCATTTAGATCGAGTGGCATAGAAAGGTGCAAATAAAAATCCTTTAAAATTGAATTTGAAAATGCTAACTCAGTGCTAAAGGAGTTGTTGCCATGTGGGACGTTGTTTGGAGTTAGTGCATTTGGAAAAATGTTTGAGAGAAGAGCTCGGCGTGTTATTTTTAGCATCCACCAGAATTGCCCGGAGGAGGTCCTAAGAGACCATCGGAGAATGCAACCGTTGCACTGTGCCTTAGGGTTTGCTACGGAGGGAGGGTGCATCGGAACAAGCGATCTGGTGAAGTCTTGGCGGCATGTTCTGGAGGCGCACCAAAAAAGAAGGTGTTGAACACCAGAGATTTTTGGTGCCTAGGCTGAACTCTTGGGTTGGCCTAACAGAAAGGTTTTGGGGCCACCGGAAGTTTCTGGTGATGGCCCAAGGCATGTCACCAGAAGAAGTGGCCTAGGGGGACGCTTACAAGAGAGAATTGGCTGCACCGGAATTATTTGGTGTGCACCAGAGAAGGTGCACTAGAGAAACAGTGACCCCAACGGCTATAAATCTGACCGTTGTATGTCAGATGGGTGTCAGACCTGTTTATTCGATTACCTTCTCTGGTGGTCCACTGGAATTTCTAGTGGTGCTAAAAAGTGTGATTCAATGACCTTCTCTGGTGGTCCACCGGAAATTACGCCGGTGGCGAAAACTATGCAACAAGCTTGTAACGGCTAGTTTGGCTTGTGGGGGTTATATAGGGGTGTGGCCGACCATTTGAGGATGGCTAGAGCCAAGGGGGCACACCCATATTTAGAGGAGCCAAAGTTAGCCCTCCACTCACATATGCATAGTTGAGGATTGCGATTTGCAATGAGTTGGAGTGGTCCAATGCATTTGCTTGAGAGAGATAGCATCTAGTGGTTTAGTTCGTTGCATTTTCTGTACACACAATCTATAATTTTCGGTTCTGGAAATAAAAAAAAACTATTAGACAAAACTACGAACCTAACAAAAATTGATTTGTGTTGGCACAAAGACAATTAACAATTCACAATTGTTTCTATAGTTAGACAATAACAAAAATTTAATATGTTATAACACAAAGACAAATACAAATTATAAAAGTAACAGTTTAATTGTACTGTGGTTAATTGTACAATAGTGTTGCCTGAAATAATAAACAGAATATTTTGAGTGCCAAACTCCTTAATAAATGGACATAATAATAACTATAATAATAAAAAAATAAAAAACAGTAAATAGACCATCTAAAACTGAAGCATTTTGCGCCTGTCTGGTCCACAGCAAATCTCTAGCTATAACAATGAAAACAAACAACTAACCAACCCCTTCTGTTAATCCCAAACACATCCCCACTTTGCTCGCCGCTCCGGCGCTCCCTCTCTCCTCTCGCTTCCTTCCCTTGGGCTCTAAGGAAGATGGGAAGGGAAATAGTTTAAAAAGGCAGGCTACATCTCCTAATCTATCAGACGAGGATAGGACTCCCTAGTCCCTACTCGTCGACTCTTTTTAGTCTCCTGTAAGCGCACGGGGGTTTTCTCGTGAGTGGGATTCATGTCGCCGCCGCAGGAGGAGCATCATGAGCAGGAGAAGCAAGCCGGCATCAAGGTGGGGTACGACGCGCCGAACGACAAGCTGCTTGAGATGATGGCGGGTCTTTCCATCTACAACCAGCAGTCCGCCGTGGCGCTGCCGCGGCTGTGGGAGGAGGACGACGCGGCGGCGGCGGATCGCTTCTCACCTGCTTTTCTTGGGCCTCATCGCGGCATCATCGATCCGCGCGCGTACGCGCCGGCGCCTCCGATAGCGCAGGAAGCCGGTCCGTCAGCGCCGTCGCAGATGCATCCTGAATCGGTGCGGATGCCGCTGCCGCTGCCGCTGCCGCCCTGCGACCGTAGCGTGCCCGACGCGCGGGCGCGGCCCTTCGCGGAAGGTCGATTTCGGCGCAGCATCGCTCGTGGGCCCCGGAACGAGCCGGCCGTGGGCATGCTCCCGCCTGGCGCAATCGCCGCAGCTCGCGGCGCCCACCCTGGCGGCCACGCGTATATGGCCATGGCGCCGCCGCCTTACCTACACGGTGGCACCGCGGCTGTCAACCGCCCCAACTTGTTTCCTGGGAACGAGGAAGCCTTGCTCCTCGCGCTGTCCGATGAAACCACCGAGAGCATCGTGTCGTACGCCTGCGACCTCTTAGAGAGCAGACATGGGCAGCGGCTATTCCGTCTGGTCCTCAATCACTGCAGCCAGCAGCTGCGGGATCGGATCGTTGCTACGATCACCCGGGACAGGAAGAGTTTTGGTAGCCTTTGCACTCGGAGGTGATTGATCAAATACCGTACTTGTTTTTTATCTGTTCTTCTTCTAGCTTTTTCTTTATCTGTTCTTCATTCAGCATATAAATGATAGCTTCTGTCTTTTCAGGCCAGATGAAGTAGTTCATATAATCAGTTCCAGTGAAACTCGGAGATCAATGCAGCTTCTTGGAGATGCCATGCTGCAATGGATGACACATAATCAGATGAGGTACCTCCTGTCGGATTCGAAAAGATTAAGAGTGCTGCATGCTTTCATAGTGAGCTCTCCTCCAGATATTGCTCAGGTACTTGTTTCTTTTTTCAATTCAAGTTCTACCTGGTGCTGCAGAAATCAATGCCATTATGATGTTTTCACTAGTATCATTAGCATCGTTATCATTGCTGACGGAAGTACATTACTGAAATCAGTAGCACTGTTAGTCAATAGTCTCATTTTGTAATTCCATTCAATTTGTCATTGATTCCCTTTTTATAATTTTGTTTCAAAAATTAATCAATGGCTACCTTATAGTTCCCTCTCAGCCTCAATGTTTTACTACTTTCCTGTATGATAAATTTGTCCACAGTGGAACAATGGTAGTTTTCTGATTTATGCAAGTTATGGCCTAAAGTCTAGCAACAATGATATCTGGTACTGGCTTTTCACTCTTCTGATTTTATAATTCAAATTTTATTCTTGTGCTCTTTAAATCTAGTTCATCAAGATTGTTTATATATAAAACATTTATTAAGTGCATTTGATAATTCAAAATTTTGTAGTTCCTACTTCAACGTCCAACCTACATGGCAAACTAGCTTATATATTCCCCTCCCTTTTGAAACAAGCAAGACTGATCATATTTATGAACCTTATTGCATTTTTGTAATGCATTTCAACAATTTGCTTCAGTGTGTGTTCACATGCACTCTGATTTTCATTATTTGACGTTTTTGTGTTAGCAGTTCATTTTCGAAGCTGTTGCTCAAAATTGTACAAGATTTGCATATCAACCAAATGGACTGGGCCTACTACAAAATTGCCTAGAGCATGTCAGCCAGAAGCAAAAGGATGATATTTTTACCCAACTCTCTTATCAGAGCCTTTTCCTTGCTCAAAATTCCAGTGGGTATGAATGTGATAATACTGTTCCATTGTACACAAACATCCGAAACCTTTTATCTGCATAAAGTTCTTTTGCGTTGCTTCATGGTTGCATTGTTGTTTCTGATATCTTTTATGTTCTCCCGCAGAAACTGGATTGTTCAGGATGTTCTGCGGAAGGGAGATCCCTCTCACATTGAAATCATTGCTTCCTGCCTTAGAAATCATTATGTGACACTCGCGAAAAATAAGTACAGCAGCAATGTTGTTGAATGGTGTTTAAGGGTATTCCACGAAGGAGAGAGATCGGTCATTGTATATGAATTCATTAGCTATCCACACTTTAGAGATCTGGTGACAGATGAGTTTGCTAATTTTGCTCTCTCTACTGCTCTTGAAACATGTGAGGTAAGTTTGCAAATTTTACTCCTGCTACTGCTATTATAACATGTCATGTGGTCACTCATTTGTATCTTAGCTCTTCACCATGTTTCATGTTTTAGTTGTATAACACGAGCTTGATGAAATTTCTGTCTTCTCCAGGTTCCTCTTCGAAACATTTTGGCGAATGCCATCCTTTTCCCAAAATATCATCGTACGGAATCAACACTGTACGAAGATCTTTAGCACATTAGCCAAATATGGGTTTATGTAACAGAATCTTTTGAGGTAAACAATACTTTGAAAATATATTGGCATCATTTTGATTGATATCATATTGATATTTAGACATCTGGGCAGGGAATTTTGAAGTAGCACATTGCAATTGAGCAGATGGTTTTCTGCTACTCTGGGCTTTTGTTCTGGTTGGTGTGTCCCAATTTGTGGAGTCTTGGCGATCCTTTTGGGTGTCTGGAGATGTTGTGAAGTAGGTACCTGATGTTAGAACCATTTTGTGCTTGTGTGGATTTGTGTATTATGTGGATTGTGGCATGTTGGAGACTTTAAGGTTGACTTGTGTTGTCTTTCGTTCCAGTATTACATATCTTCAGGCATTGTGTTACCTTTGCAGTTAGCTACATGTTAAAGTGTTGTATATGTAAGTGATTGTTCAGTTACGTTGCTAGTTGTGATTATCTTAATGCTTTCTTTTGAAGAGATTGATGTCGCGAGATCTTCTTGATAGAAATTTCTGCCTTTATTTTCGTCCCCTGATGTAATCAAGAATATTTTATTATTTTAATTTTTTTACTGCTGAATATAGTTTCAATCTCTGCTGAAATGGAACCATGGATGATCATCCTAATTTAGCCTTTTAAATAAGCTATAATGAAATAAATTAATCTATTTGCATGCAAATTGCAAACTAGAATTTACTGAATTCTGTAATTAATTGGTTAATTTACTCTAGCACTAATGCCATTCAGATCAGAGCTAAGATTACTGCAAATAGCAAAAGGAAAGGTTCACAATAATAATCTTGCAAAGGCCAAACCAATATTGATTTGTTGTTGTTTACGTTGATGTATTATTATTATATAACGATGCTTGCTACCTACCAAAAATTTTACCAAGATCTGAGTGCAGCTTCTACCCTTAGTCATGGTTTTATAGCATCTATTTGAGATTGTGATTGAAATGCAACGCCTTCTGTAACAAGGTGCTAGGAGAACCTGGCACGGATGAGACTTCCCAACTTTTGCTTGCGCCGATGCTCATTGATGCCTGCTCGCCCTATGGGCTATGGCCACATCGAATGATCGAATCCCATTTTGTCCTGATTCTTTCCTGACATGGCACAAACTTGAGCACCAATGACACTGGCGTAGTGCCGGTAGTGGCGTGAAGTTGTTCACCTTTCTGCCCGTTCATTTTGTATCCTTCCTTTTAAAAAAAACTAGAAATAGTTTGTTTCCGCTAAGCACGCTATAGACCCAAGCGCTCACACTCACATATATGTAGATACACTTAATTTTGTAAATGCATGTACATATATCGTTCCAGATGAACATTTTAAGAGACTGTAGCTGACAATTAATTATTAGCAGTCAGGTAGGCTAATTACTGAAAGAATAATCGCAAATGTAAGCATTAATGCTAAGTTAGAGACTAGAATCTAGGTGAATACAGTAGATTCCACAGAAAAAAAACTGATAAAACTAATACATGGATGATCTAGTGAATACAGTAGATTCCACTAAAAAAAACTGATAAAATTAATGGGGATTGCTAGCGCCCAGACGCCCAGACGCTAGCCCGCGTCCGAACGCCTGTGCCAGCACTCCATTTCCCGTGTCTGCACCCATTTTCACACGGGGCCCACGCCACTGGGACCACCCGTGTTGCCCGACTGACCGACAGCACGCGGTGACCCCTCGCGCCTCCTCCGCTTCCCACACGCATGCAGACGGGAACGTCTGCGCCCGCTCAATGGTGGCGGCTGCGGCAGGCGGTACCATTGCAGCATGTTGAACACCAATACTTTTGCAACATCCAGATAAAACACTTGTAACATACATCCGAAACAGTTGAAACACTTGCAACATACGTCTGAAACACTTGCAAAAACACCTAAATACACTTGAAAGTTATTGCAAACGCATGCAACATCCAGATCTACTTTTATAACATCTAGATAAAATACTTGCAACATATGTATAAAACACATGAAACACTCGAAACATACGCTTTTCAATATGCATGCTATGCAACATCCAGATATACTTCTGCAACATCCAGATGAAACACTTGAAACATACATCTGAAACACTTGAAACATATGCTTGCAACATACGTATATAGCTATTGCAACATACGCAACATAACACATGAAAACATACTAAACACGGCATCGCCGGCGGCCACGACATACCTGGATAACTGCGGTAGCCAGCAAGCAGCGCTTGGATGCCGTGGAGAAGGAGGCTGGCGGCAGGCTGGCGGCTAAGCGTGGGAGCAGTGGTCGTGGACCACACTGCATCGCGCGCCGAGAACTCGGCGGCGAGTGGTGTGGCGGTGGGGGAGATAGGAAGGCGTGAAGCGGCGCTCGCCAGCGCGGTAAAAGACGCAGCCCGTTGTGGCCGTGGCAGCACGAAAAGTCTTGTGGAGCACGCCGCGTGGCGATTCAAGTGTGGGTTCGAGAATGGATGCGGCACGCGGCGATGATTCGAGAGGAAAGTGAGAACGGAGATTTTTTCAAGCGGATGGAATTAAATGCATGCGGATGGCAGATTGATCCGTTCGAGCGTACGGCTATCAAGGCCCACAAATGCAAAGCGTCCGGACGAAACAGACGTCCTAACCATAGCATTTCAAAACTAATACATGGATGAATTTTTCAAGACAATGTGCGGACAATTAGTTAAGGTCGCCCATTACCAAAAAAAAAATAATTAGTCACGAATCTAGCATTAATGCTAAGTTAGAGACTTGAATCCAGATCAATAGATTTCAACGCAAAAAACCTGATAAAACTAGACTACACAGAAATAGAAATAGTTTTATTTTAATAGCAATCTAGGTCGAAATTGTGTATGTGTATATACTCCGTAGAATAAACTGCTCGCCCAGCCAGGCTTGAAAAGCCCACCTAGGCCCGTCACGCAGCCCAACCCATTTTAGAGTTCGAACTGCACCGCTGAGAGCCCAAAGCGGTAAAGCCCCAAACACATGCCGTACCTTGCTGGGTTCTCCTCGCTGACGCCACGCCGTTCGCCTCCGTCGCCGCCGCCGCCGCCGCCGCCGCCGACCCATGGAGCCCACGGAACCGTCGCGTGGCACCAAGCACCCTCTCACCGCCACCGCAGGCGACGACGACGATGCCGGCCCGACCTCTCTCCCTTCCTTTCCCCTCTTGTCGAGTTCCCCTGGTTAGGGTTTTGGTCTCACGCCCTAGCAGGGCTGATGTTGATTTTGTGTCGCTTGCCGCGCTCGCAGGGAGCGCAAGCCGCGGTTCCCTAAGGGGAAGAAGGCCAAGTACCGCGACGCCGGTGCGGAGGGAGGCCCCTCCGGCAACGCCGTGGACCTCGACAGCATGCTGAATCCGGAGCTTGCGGCGGAGCGGCGGGCGCGGCAGCGCCACGGCCAGCTCAAGGAGGGCGACGACGCGAAGGGAGGTGCCACTGACGTCAAGGGCTTCGAAGTCCGCTACAACGTATGCCCTGCTTCTCCGCTTGCATCTTTTTTCCTGTTTATTAATGTTGACAGCAAATGAATGCTAGGACAAATTTGAGCTGTATTTTGATTCTCAACAGGATGGTCCTTCTTCCTGTTTATTAATGTTTGACAGCAAATGAATGCTAGGTACAAAATTTGAGCTGTATTTTGATTCTCAACAGGATGGTATTAACTTTATTGATGATGGTATCCGGATAGAGCCGTTTAACTTGGAGCGAGAAAGGGAAGAAGGGTATTTCGATGAGAATGGGAACTTTGTGGAGTATGCAAGAGGCAATGAAATTAAGGTAATGAAGATCTTCTGTTTAGCACCGTTAACATTATAGTATAAGAAGTTACCATTGGTGACGCAAACACGTTTGCCTTGTAGGATGCCTGGTTGGACAGTGTGGAAGTTGACCCAACGTATGCTGCAAAGGTTCAGAACAAAGGCAAAGAGAAAGTTGAAGAGTTTGAGGACCTCTCTTCCGATGACATTGGGAGGCTAAAAAGGCAGATAGCAAACTTGCTTGAACCAGGAGAAACGGTGTGTTTTTGTTGCATCATTTGCATATTTTTATGCAGCCCTTGCTTGCCCTTTACTGTTCAATAATTTATACCATTTAGTTCCTATGTCAACTTTACTGACTTACTATTATTGTGTTTGGGTTTAGCTAGTGAATGATGCTTAATTTACTCAATGGATTCCCATATATCCAAATATCTAAACTTACAACATTCAGATCATTAATCTTAAATATTTTCTTCAACAACTGCCAGATAATGCAAGCTTTGAAAAGGTTGAAGGGTACATCCACGGATAAACATGGAAAGATGGCTGAGGGGACTAAACGTATATTTGATGAATTGACTGAAGCTGCCATGAAGCTAATGGAGAATGGCGACTATAGTATGCTTTTCTTTCTTGAAATTCTTATTTGACTATTTGATATTTCTTTTTGTCCTTACATTTGTCATTTCAGTGTCAATGTGACTTATTCATTGTTGTGCATGTTTTGGTGTAGATGTTTACTCAGATGATCGTGAGACCTTTGAACGCGAGGCAGGTTAGTTGTTTTCTTTCTTACTAGCATATGGAAAATTCCATTTCATGACCACCTAATTTCATTTTAATGGTACTGTTTCATCCGAGTGAACTGATTGCACACAAAAGGATCACTGCCTTTGGTTTCCTTAGCATCACTTGAGTAAAAAATGCAAAATACATAGGTTTTACATTATCAAGGTTATCTCTACCTTTTCCCCCAATGGAAACAGAGTCACTCTGTTGCTTTTTTGAATGTATGAGGTGCTCTACCATCGCTTGATTGCATGTTGTCATGAACTCATGTATCCCTGAAGTTAACACCACTATGGCACTATGCATAACTTGATCGATGTTTATCCTGAGACATCAACCTGACCTACCTAGGCATGCACATTACATTACTTCACTGCTTACTTAGTCATTTCCTTAAAATTGTCATTTCAAGAAATTTGCCTGACTTTTGCCCCCTCTTTTGCCTTTGCAGCTGGGTATGAACGTTTGGCACGTGCTCGACTTGGTTTGCCAGAAGTTGATGGTGTCTCTGAAGACCCAAAATATAACCAGACACCATCGTCAGTACTGGAGATTGACCAACCATCATCTGTACTGGAAATGGAACTTGGTCCCTCAACTGCCAATATATCTACAGCCACTGCTGCAATCAACGATGATGACAGTAACCTGGACATGTTTGGTGATGATGACAACGATGATGCCAATACTGTAGGTTCAGGTTTGAATCCTGGAACCTCAGATGTGAAGAGTAAGTTCACATCTCTGGCTCTTTTTTTTTTCCCTTTTGTGGAAACCTGTTGCACATTTCCCCCTCTTTCTGGCAACTGTTGTGTTTTCTTTATTCACAAATATTTTTTCCTTCTTCCTGCAGAAGCCGATAATGGAAGCGTGGACTCAGACTATGTCTATGATCCTTCTTCAGGGTAGGCTATAGTTGTTTCTATGCTGCTTTTCCTAGATTTTTACGGGTTGTTTTGAAAAGAAACAAAGAACAGCCACATTGACTGTTCTAATGTCTATACAGATTGCATGTGTTGATTGTGTATTTCTATTCCTTTTTTCATGCAGTTACTACTATATCAGCAGCACAGGCTATTACTATGACCCTAACTCTGGATATTATGGTTCTGCATCTACGGGAACCTGGTAAATTTTTCCCCAATTCATCCTTGATTTACATTTAATAGTTATTGCTTTTTCAGTGTCAATCATTTCTTTAGAATACAATGTCGTTTTGGTTGCATGATTTCTTTTTTCTTTAGTATACTTAGCTGTGAATTACAACATGAACTGTCCAGTGGACTATGTTCTGTTTACTAACTATTTTATAAAAAAGGCTAAAATGTGTCATTGCCAGTTATGTGCAGGGAAGAAATATGTTCTTTAGTGCTCTCAGGTTGGTTACTTAACTTTGATTTGCAGCAGAACATGATTATAACTTTGATGAGAGCCAAGATGATAGTAGGCTGTAGCATCCAACATTCATTAGCAGAACTTATTGTTGATTGCCTGACAAATTCTTAGGATTTGTATCCCAGTACCCCCTTTCACTGGCAAACCCTTTCGGTTGTCTAGCCAGTGACCACTGATCACTGCTTGTGAAGCATTTTAACACAAGGGTTCCTGTTATGCCTTCCTATGTGTTTCTTTTCAACTGTTCCAACAAGAAATTTTAGCAGGCATTGGGTTAGATGACCTAGTTAGTAGAGTGAGCGCTGCCATGTATTCTCTGGACATCACTTGCATTGCAATAGCATTAATCCCTTTTAGCTGGCTGAGGCTGAAGGTGTGCTGGTTTTGCACTTTGTATTGTTCCTGCATGCGCAATAACTGAATCCTTGTATTAGTTCTTTGCTGCTGTTTTTTCGTTAGAGAAGTTTTTGATTTTCTGTGCTTATGTCTACAATGTGCGCAGGTATTCATACGATGAGCAAACTGGAACATACAAAGAAATTCAGGATGAACAAACTGGCACGGCCAAAGAAGAGCTAGGAGACGCCATCAAGGAGTAACCGAGTTGCTACTGCTCTTCTCGTTCTTGATTGCCAGTGGAACTGAGGTAGTTCAGACTGCCCAGTGTTCTTTAAAGCGAGTTGTAGCTTCAGTTTCTCAGTAGGCGCTTTGGGCCACGACTCGCTAACAGTTGCCTTGGTAAATGCTATGTGGAGAAGATATTTAAGAGGAAACCGGTCAGATCATACTGTAGGGTGTAAACTAAAGGAAGTGATCGACTGCAACTGCACAATTGCGATATTTTTTTTGCTCGCTGCAGAGGCGTGTTTTACTAACTATTCCCGTTGTTTCTGTAGAAACATGTAACACGAAAAAGATACATTACGTCATTACCACATCAATCTTGTTGGTATCCTATTCCTATGTGAAGATGCGTTTGAACTTGTAACAGATGAGAACGTTGCAACAGTGTGCGGATTGGTAAACTAAATCGGGCAACTCGTGATCGATGGAGTAGTCAAAGGCCGGCGCTGAGGCAGTCAGGCGGAGGAGGTTCGGAGGTTGGAGACGCATCATCATCCAATCTGGAAAATCTATTACAGTACTCTACAACCTCTTTCCGAAAAGGTTGGAACCAAAAACTCTCTTTCAGAAACCACTTTAGACGGACAACGCCTTCTCTTTGAAAGATTGGAACAAAAAGTATCCCTTTGGGAAGCCTCGTTAGACGGACAACGCCTTCTCGGGGCCCGTTTGGACATCAATTTTTTTTCATGTAAAATTAAACTGATGTCTGTAAATTTCCTCTAATATTTTTGTGAAATTTCTGTTTTTCAAACAAGCCTATGAATATTTTTTACGCTATACATACATTGACAAAATATTTGTTTCTATGTTTCAACATGTTTTTTTGTTGTTGTTGTTGAAAGGGTTCCAGCCTGTATTCAGGAGCTCAATATATACCACACACAACAACACGAGCCAGCTGCAGTAATCGTAGATTACTTGGATGACTGCCTATAGCTAGCGTAGTGTATACACTACAAGTTGGCATCCTCCGAATCAACGGTCAAACCCAGGTGGTGTTCACACGTACGTGACCAGTCAGCAGCGGATCCGATGGAGGCCGTCCGGATCCTGTTCATGCGTGCATTGAAACCCAAAAGCCATGCATGTACAGCCAGCTCGTGTGCCCGGTGCCCCACGTATACATCATTACGAACGTCACGTTTTGCACACGCGCGTATACGATTACGAACGTCACAGCTGAGATGAGAACAGAACTACTATACACGATCTATCAGGTTCTGTACGTGTACGTGTAGGAGCACACCGTACAGGACCCGAATGAGGCTCATCAGTCATCACACGGACGACGTGGACGTGACTGTGCGCTACTCCACCACCGTGACGTACGCACGTACGAATACGAACCAGGCTAGGCTAGTCACGTGTCAGTCAGAGGTCACATGAACCACGACCTGCAAGCGGCGCGCGGCCGGCCAGACGGAAACGGAGAGGCGACGTACTCCGATCCGGCCCCGATTTGGAAACGAAAGTTCCCGGTCCACGCGTACGCCAGAAGAAGCCTCCTTCCCGTCCGTGATGAGGTTAGGACTAGAAACTAAATCCGACTCCGTAATCTCGTATTAACGTCAAATCGCGATTCTGATTTGACAGCCCAAACAATCACTATAAATACACAAATCAGGCATGTCGTTGTACTCTACCATTGTTATTACTACTACACGACGCCACCGTACGCTCAGAACATCATCGTGTGATACGTGGAATACGACGACGACGACGTCATCACATCGACGAGAAGCAGCAGCAGCAACGGCGACCGCGATCGCGAAAAAGGGCATGGGAAGGCCGTCCATTGAGGCGCTGGCAATGGCGGACGCCGACTGGCGGGCGCAGCACTGCGCCTTCGACGACGACGACGACGACGACCAAGCAGGCGCGCCGCCGGAGCACCTGCGCGCCTTCGAGGCGTTCATCGACTCGGTGGTGCCGGTGGACATGGTGCTGGCGTTCGGGCGCGAGCAGAGCGCGCGCGCCCGGCGCGGGGAGCGGCGCCGGAGCCACGAGGAGGACGTGAAGGAGAAGCTCAAGCTCTGGGCCAAGGCCGTGGCCGCCAAGGCGAGACAAGACGTCATCAAACACAACAACAAGAATAGTGCATGCGTACACGGTGTCTAGCTAGGGCATGCTTATTTCTTAACACACGCCCGCGCCCGGCGCGGGGAGCGGCGCCGGAGCCACAGGAGGACGTCAAGGAGAAGCTCAAGCTCTGGGCCAAGGCCGTGGCCGCCAAGGCAAGACAAGACGTCATCAAACACAACAACAAGAATAATGCATGCGTACACGGTGTCTAGCTAGGGCATGCTTATTTCTCAACACACCTAGCTATTCTTTCTAACCATTTGTTCAATTCCTTTTATATTCTTACATACACAAGCTAAGTGACGGTACGTATAGTAGTTTGTTCGCGATTTGTACTGGACAGACAGACAATGAGAATTCATTAACTTCCACCCCGCTGACACGCGTGCGCAGGTGGGGACCCCTGCAGATCCAGCCGATCGGATGCATAAAATTTCATATCAAGCTACGTAGAAAGGTTTTTGTCGTGATGATGCATAAAAATTAGTGAATGAAAATTAATTTGTTACCGCATAGAAACCTCTCCACGAGTTGGACGTTCCACCTAACACAACTCCGACAAGGTCGGCGACGCATGCATGCATGCAACCCAATCAATCTCTTTCGTTTTTCTATTATAATTTCTCAACGAAGCATCCGATTCAAAAACGGTTTTCACTATTGAACTCTGACATTTTGTGCATGATTCAAGATTCATTATGAATATATTTTGTAAAAAATTAAAATTCATAATTTTATGCACTAGGATATAGAGATTTATACTTTCGGCTACACATAGAATCTTGTGAGCGAGAGCATAGAAACATAGAGATGACCTCGTGTTTTCTAAAATTTAAAATTTGAATCATGGCACGTGATGGCCGATTGGATGCATATAATCACTGTCAAGGTGCGTAAAAAGTTTTTGACACCGATGTTGCATAGAAATATGTGGTTGGATGAATAAAAATTAATTTTGTTACAGCGTAAAAAACCTCTCCGCAAGATGGACATTCCACCTGACACAACTGTGATTGCCTCCACCAAGATCATGCTTCCCACTAATATGGGTGTATAATTAACATAGGAACAATGTATAGAACTTGGAGACCATAAGTGTAAAACTTGGAGACGATCTCGTTTTCTCCAAAATTTAAAATTTAAATCATGGTATGTGATGGCCGATTGGATGCATAGAATCAATGGTCAAGATGCACAAAATTTTTTTTGGCGCCCATGTAAATTAGTGGTTGGATGAATAAAAATTAATTTGTTACTGTGTAAAAACCTCTCCACGAGATGGACATTATACCTGACACAATCGTGATTGCCTCCACCAACATCATGCTTCCCACTATGGGATGTGTAATTAACATGGGGGACAATGCATACAACCCTCACAAAACCCTCTCCTCTGGGTATTAATTTTTTGAAAACCTTGATTGCACACACCCACACCGTGCTTTCCACTGGGGGATGTATAACTAACACAGGAACAATGCATAGAACCCTCACAAAATCTCCCCTCTGGGTATTATTGTTTCAAAAACCCTGACTGCACCAACCCACACAATGCTTCTTTCTAGGCTATTTAATTAGTAGAGGAACAATGCATAGAAACCTGTAGAACCCTACCCATAGGAAGGGGCAGTTATAACAAAGATCGTAACGGCCCCAACCCACACCATGCTTTTTCACTAGAGGATGTTTATTTAATACAAGAACAATGCATAGAAACACACAGATCCTTCCTACTAGGTGTGGACTGTAACACCCTTGTAAATCATCTACTAAAACATGCCATGAGCATCATATTTATGTGTTAATGCATGTGGTGAAATGAGTAGATGAAGTGTCGTAACATAGAAGGATCAATAGAATGTTAATCGAAAAGTTATTCCATGATTCGCGTAATTATCAAGTAGGGTTGTAAACCAATTTTTATTAACAAAAATAATATAGAACATATATGCAACACTTAAATAAAGTTGAAAGTACAAACTTTATAGATGACAATGAAATACTTGGTGTTGATAAATAATGTCGCTAGCTTACATTTCTAAGGGTTTGGAAATGCAACTAGAAATAGAAAGTCATTTAACACTTAGAAGATTTCATGAACTTTTGGTGAGCTAGACATTGCGATGTTTGGTAATTTTTGTACGACAATCTAGTTAAGAAGTAGGGTAGTGTTACGGGTTATTTTAGTGGCCTAATATACCCTCTAAGGTATGGTGAAGATGGTTTGGGTGTTTGACCAACCGATTTATTGTTTTGGATGCTTTAAAAAGCGTGCATGGCACGTCCTCGGTTGGTTTCCTCATGTAGGCCCGATCACCGCGCCCCTGAGCCACGTCCTCGACGCGCCGGCCATCCGTGAGCGCAACTGGCCGTGCTCGGCTGGCCGATGTGGCCGACAGCCCTAGTGCGCAACAGCCCCACCTCACTGCCACGCTGCTACCGCCGTAGTCCCATTCTTGTTGCTCCCTCCATGCGTCCGCGACGCCGCTACCGTCGCGTCCTTTGTCCATCTCTCTCTCCTCTCTTTTGCCGCCACTAGCCTCTGGTCCTCAGTCCGCGCTGGCCTGGTAGTAGGTCGGACCGTCGTCGCCATGCCATTTTATGGCACAGGCGTGCTGCAACGCGCTAGCGATCTAGGTGTGGACCGCACGGATGGGCCACGCGAGAATTAGTTTTCCTTTTTTCAGCGAATTAGCAAATGTTTTTCTAATTCAGTTTTGAGCTGATCTTTGGAAAATTATAGTAAATTCTGTAGATGTCCAAAAATTGTGAAACTAATTTAGTTAAGTTCTTAAAATTGTGCTCTATCTGTTGGTGTATTTAGTTCATATATATATATATATTTGTTGATACTAGGAACTATTAAATCATTTGAGAGTGCTTAATGTTA